GTAGCGCTGCAAAGCTGGGCACAGTGGCTCATGCCTATAATCCCAACATTTTGGGAGGCCAAGAGTTCGAGACCAGCCTGGCCAACATGGTGAAACCCCGTCTCTACTAAAAATTCAAAAATTATCTGGGCGTGGTAGCGCAGGCCTGTAATCCCAGCTACTCAGGAGGCTGCGGCAGGAGAATAGCTTGAACCCAGGAGGTGGAGAGGTTGCATTGAGCCGAGATCACGCCACTACACTCCAGCCTGGGTGATGGAGTGAGACAGTGTATCCAAAAAAACAAAAAAAAAATGAGATTATGCAAGAATCTGACTCTAAGAAGTTCGAACTGATTAAAAAGTACCACATACTTCATTATATGAGGCCAGCTGTTTAGATTAGTGAGAGCAGTTAGTTCAAATGCAGAAAACAGATGGCTTTCATTAGCCAGAAACCTTAAAATTACATAAATTCACGGATGCAACTAAGCTATGGATCTGGGCCCTCTCCTTGCCAAGCAGGACTTTTCGGCTAGCAAAACAGAGAGCTCCTTGTTCACTCTTCCCTCCTAGATGGGACCCTGTTGGGGAGGAATGCTGCCAAGCCTGCTCATAAGGAATTTTGATCTCCTAGATGATAACAGAGAGAAACTTTTTGAAGAAAGGGAACACCCTGTTTGAAAGGACAACAAGAGAACTTGTTCAAGAAGGTGGCTTTGCATTTAATTGAAAATTGCAGCAACTGTAGGCATAGGGTTTCCAGGTTCACCTCTGCAGACTGGTCCAGATTAGGTATATATGTTTATATTTGTTTATGTTATCCCCTTAAGGCTCTTTTAAAACCGTTTCTAAAAATTCCTTCGGAAAGTCCATTTCACTTCAGTATACTTTGTATTGTGGCTCAAAAATATTTTTTTTTTTCCGGTAACAAAAGTATTTCTTTTCTGTTTTTAAGAGTTGCAGCATTTTTAAGTTTGATATGTACGTCTCTGTAGTTCAGAGCACTCGGTAAACAGCCTCTTGCTTTTGAGGCAATTTGTCAATGCTTCATTGTTTTTAGCTGGTTATTTTGTTCATTGTCAGGAACACTGTTTTCCCATGGGAAAGCATCTCCAGTTTTATGATGTCAATGGAAAGTCATTCGCTTTACAAGAATTACCTTCATGTTCAGTCTTAGAAATGCATAGACCACGAATGAGAAATGCATAGACCACGAATGGCCAGTTGTATCACAGTTCTCATCTTTTAAATGTTGTCTTAGATTTTTGCAAAGTAACCTTAACTCACCTTAGAATAGTGTTAAGACATAAATAGAATTAAAATGTAGTAGTTAAGTGGTTATAGTTCCCATCTACTAAGGTATTTATATTTCTTTTCTTTTAGAAAAGAAAAATGTTTAAAAACATTACGAATAATTATCTTTAGGATGACTTTGTAAGACGGTGCTTTTTTACTGGCAGCAAATATCTCAAAGATTTCAATTTTAAGAGTGTCCTTATTAACAGATTCTGAATAGGACCCTGTGTATGATTTATTAAGTCATTTCTTTGAGGCTTCATTCAGGAAAAGGGAATTAACCCTTGGATGGCAATGGATTAATGTGGCCATATTTCCTTCTGGCTGAATGCCAGGGAGTGGCTGCGCTTAGCAACCAGGCTTTGTTTCATAAATGGGTTACTTGATGCAGGTGAGGATGCCGTGGGTCGTTTGTCTTGTTTTAATTAAAGGGGACAGGAATATGTAGTCAAAGCATGGAATTGTTTGCAGATGGGCTTCAGTAAGAATAGGAAGGCGTCTGGTTCAATTTGTATCTCCAAGCTAATTGCTCTGATTTCCATATACACACCTGGTGTTGGTTCGGGGAAAAATTTTGCTTGAGAAACGTGGCTTTTGTGAGTTGATATTTATTTGTGAAGGGCTCTTGTAATGTCAAATGTAAAAAGATCTATACATACAACCAATTTTACAATTTCTAATTCAACAGCTTACCCTAATTATGAGGATTCACAGTTTAAATTATTGAACGATCTCCACTTGAAGAAAATAGAGCATGTTAATCATCACGATTCTCCAAACATTTATTTTTAAAGTTAATATTAAATCTCATTTGGTGGAAAACCTGAAAGGAACTGAAGCATATATTTTCTAGTCTAAACTCTCATTATTAAATATTAAATATTAAAATGAAGACAACATGAGACAAATAATCAAGTTATTTGAAAAAAAGTTTTAAAAATTACCACTTTTTGGTAGTCAGCATACACACACATGCCAACAGATGGCATTAAAAAGTGATGAGAACGTGAGACAATTATAGGGTCATAATCAATTTATTTGAAAAAAATGTTTAAAAAATTACCACTTTTTGATAGCATACACACATATGCCAACAGATGACATTAAAATATCTGTAAAGTGAAGAAGCAGGGAGGATGACAAAAGGAAGAATAGAAGAAACTAAAGGAAGTTAAATCAAAAGAGGAAAACAAAATTGAAGAAGCATTTACTTGGTTTGTCAGGTAGGGTGACACATTGTATTTTGCCAAAAACTTTCCTGGTTTTAGCACCAGATGTCTCAGAACATGGCAGCTGACCTCCCTCACAGTGAGTGATCCCAGAGAGCAGTGAAGAATTGTGATGCCTTTCATGACCTTGTTTTGGATGTTACACATCATCATGCCCTTCGTGACCTTTTTGGTGGGAAAGGGTTTGTTTTTAAGAGTTGCAGCATCTTTAAGTCTAATATGTACATGTTCGGAAGTTACACCGTCATCATTTCTGCCGTACTCCATTTGTTGCACAGACAGACCCTGATACATTGTGGGATTGCCCAAGGTCCCTGAATAGCAGGTGGCCGGGACTACTGGGGGCCTTCTTGGAGGCTGGCTACCCTGGGGAGAGAAATTGTCAATTAAATGCTCCCTGTGGGAAGGAAATGGAATGAAGGGCATTTGTATTGACAAGAAGGTAGAACGCTTTCCTTAGACATTGTAATGAACAGATTGTGGATAAACAAAAGTACAGAGAGAGTTTGAGGCAGAGAGGAGGAGATTGATTCAACAGAATATTTACCAACTATGGTAAAGGCTCATTAATATCTCTGTACAGTTACAAACATGCTGCAAAGACTGGAAATCCTGGGGACAGGAATGAATTCGGAAGGTGAACAGAATAAAGTACTGTAGGAACAATGGCGATTCCATTAGTGAATTGTACGTTCCTTAAGGTCAGGGCCCTCCATGGCATCTAATATAGGGCCTTTTCCACAGGTACCTGATTATTATTTGACTTTCTTTAATGTTTTTGCAGTGTTATTATCTGTACTACTTATTTCAGTAAGATTGGCAACATTTGCATTTTGATTTCTAAGATCAAGACAATGAATTCCTCTTAATCCCCCAGGAAAGCTGTGAAATTTAAATTTACAAAGCATTCTACCTAGCTTGCTGCTCTGCATCTGTCAGGGAATGAGACCCCCAGTTTCGTGGAAGTCACAGGAAGTGGCAAGGGGCTCAGATGGAGGAGTTGAGGGGTCCTAGCTATTTCTGCAATTGATCTGGATATTTTGGCATCGGCTGCTTTTACTTAACCATCTGGCAATGTCAAGGCAGAATTTCGTTAAATATTGGAAAAGTTACTTGAAAACATGGTTCTAGAGATTTTGCCAGCAGCTTTTGCACTCATGACTTGGTCCAGTCTAAGACCTGTTTTGTTTTTTTGTTGTGAGGACCTAAGTCCTCTGTTGGGTTTTGATGAAATATGTGTACAAATGACTAAAATGGCCAGATGTATCCTATTTTACATTTATGTGGGAAGAAATGTTTGGAAACTATTTCACGTCTTTAACCAGAAATTTCTCAGTGCAATTTTAGTTGGTGTTTTTCCTCCTGTGGACCGATTTTAGGAATGATACAAGTTATCATGGAATCACCCAGTTCTTGAGTGTGTGAACGAATGGCTTCTGCTGGAGGTTCATTCTTCTTGGCATGGATGTCTCATATTTCCCCATTTAACAGAGGAGGGCCTATCATGATTAATATGCCTTCTAATTGGTTTAAGTAACACCTTTACTCCTGTGGATATATTTTTCATTTCTTGCTGAATTTTTTTTTCTTTTTGAAATACCAGAACCTATTAAGTGACATAATACAGATATTTCAGGACTTCCATTTTTTTCTTTTAAAAATATTTTTGTAAAGGTAATGCCTGTACACAGAAGGGTTTGAAAATGCAGAAGGCACCCTTTTTCATGAGTTTGTGAAGTGGTCTGTTACCTGCAATGGTAATAGCTAGGACTGCTTACTTACTGCCCAGCAGACACTATGCAGAGCTCTGAATGAGAAAATGTTGGCTCCTTGCAGATGGTTGGGAGAGGAGACACCAGCACCCTTAACAGACTTTTTAAGAGCTGAGAGAGTGATAACCAGAGAATATTCTGGGGAAAATCAGGTGGAATCACCAACATACTCAGTTATTTTTGTGGATGGTGATTTCTACAGGAAATTTTTCCGTTCAAAATCATAATGCAGTCACTTGTTAACTACCAATGCCATGCTTGCTGTCAGTGCTGAGAGGTGGCACACAATATTACTTTCAGGCTTGGTCATCAGGCAGGGCCTGGCAGGCATTGTGCTCTGTGTGAGTCAGTGGAGTTTATTATGAGAATGCGGTAGCCTCCACAGTGATTATATTTATTATAGAAAAACATGTTATTTTGTTGTCAGAACCTTTCAGCAGGTACCACAAAATCTCATATGGGAAAATGTTTAAATTTTTCATGAGTAAATTCCTTTTGGTATTGGTAATTTCCTTCTCTGTTTCAGTGTAAAAGAAAGCACTATCTTATAGGCGGCTAGAAATGTCTGTAGCATACATAACACTTAATCTAAAGCAGGGTTGAAGACCGGACTGATTCCTAATTAAGAATGAGCAAGAATAGAGCTCTTTTTGATCCCTGTTCTTCCCCCCAGCCTCTGCCTTGGAACTATGGATTCTAAAACTAACTGAAGCTTCTTCTTTCAGGTACCCACTGATGGCAATGCTGGCCTGCTGGCTGAACCCCAGATCGCCATGTTCTGTGGCAGACTGAACATGCACATGAATGTCCAGAATGGGAAGTGGGATTCAGATCCATCAGGGACCAAAACCTGCATTGATACCAAGGAAGGCATCCTGCAGTATTGCCAAGAAGTAAGTCCTGTCTGGTGGCTAGCAGTTCACGTTGGATCACGTGCACTTGTTTTCAGAAAATTTAACTTCTTATGTTTTGCATCAGTATTTTAACCCTACAGTAAAAATCTTGGTTCCTAATGATTTGCCATACCATTAATATATTTATTTGCATTACCCTATGATATACATATAAATGTTTTTAAAATTATGATGTCATATTATGACCATCACTAAGCAGTAAAGTTTAAGATGTCTCAGCACTTTTTTTTTCCTCACTCTGTCGCCCAGGTTGGAGTGCAGCGGCATGTTATGGCTCACTGCAGCCTTGCTTGACCTCCTGGGCTCAAGCAGTCCTCCCACCTCAGCCTCCAAGTAGCTGGACTATAGGCATATGCCACCAGGCCTGACTGATTTTTTAAATTTTTGTTTTTTGAGACGCAGTCTCACTCTGTCGCCCAGGCTGGAGTGCAGTGGTGCAGTCTCGGCTCACTGCAAGCTCTGCCTCCCGGGTTCCCGCCATTCTCCTGCCTCAGTCTCCTGAGTAGCTGGGACTACAGGCACCCGCCACCACGCCCGGCTAATTTTTTTGTACTTTTAATAGAGACGGGGTTTCACTGTGTTAGCCAGGATGGTCTCGATCTGCTGACCTCATGATCCGCTCGCCTCAGCTTCCCAAAGTGCTGGGATTACAGGCATGAGCTACCGCGCCCAACCGATTTGTTTAATTTTTAGTAGAGATGTGGTCTCCTTGTGTTGGCCAGGCTGTCTGAAACTCCTGGGCTCAAGCCATCCTCTGGCTGGACATCCCACAGTGCTCAGATAACAGACATAAGCCACCATGCTCAGCCCTCCGCACGCCTTTCATCTTTAGTATATATTTCACCACGGCTCTACAGTCAAGGTCTTTTGGTTAAAAGTGTTAGAATCAATTTTTTTCTATTACCAGCTTGATATATATTTTAGTTCGTTTATATCTGTTTGTATTCTATTTTAGTTTTTTCCTCCCTTACTAATTTTACTTTTTGACTATCATGTTAGTTCTATAAAATATACTCAGAAAGCTCACTTTTTACTCATTCTCTATCGATAAACATTTTCATTGTTCTGATTTTTATTTTTTTTTGGCAAAAGAAAATACATGTTTTTCCTTCTTGTACAAAAAAAATATATAAAGTGCACTGTTCTGCACTTTGCTTTTTTTTTTTTAAACTTAACTTTATATCCTGGAAATCATGCCTCCTCATTTCGTGGAGATCTTCATTTTTGTTTAATTCTTTGTAGTCCTTTTGCTGTTACTGTACGGGGTGCTCCTTTCTTATTCAATTTAAAATAGCTGGAGTTCCAGGCATTTCATCTCACACTTCTTAGATAGTTATCTCTTCTAGGACATGTGTCTGCATCTTAAGAACATTGGAAGTAATTAGTCTTATGCTTGTTGGCAAAGCAAAATTCTTGACACTCATTATAAACAGCAGATAGCCTGGCAACATTTTATTTTGTTGTAATCCTTTTTGTACTAGAAATTTTTCTTTAGCCTACTTGGATAATGAATGTTTGTTGTTTAATATTACTATTCTATTGAGATCCTTTTATTTTAAATTATAAATACTAAAATTATTATTAAAAGGTTTAATTTGTTTTGATAGCATTCTGTTTAAGAAAGGACAATAATTACTAATTGGTGTTTTGAGAAGCAAAAATCATCTGCATTATCACAATATATTACATATTAAGTAATTTTTATCTTGAAAGGAGTATGAACCATGATGTGAAATGATGAATAGTGGAAATCACTAATGCTTAAGTTCATTATATGTTGTTTTTTTTTGTTTGGTTTTTTTTTTTTTGAGATGACGTCTTGCTCTGTCGCCCAGGCTGGAGTACAGTGGTGCAATCTCAGCTCATTGCACCCTCCATCTCCCGGGTATAAGTGATTCTCCTGCCTCAGCCTCCTGAGTAGCTAGGACTGTAGGCACCAGCCAACACACCCAGCTAAATTTTTTTGTGTTTTTAATAGAGACAGGGTTTCACCATATTGGCCAGGCTGGTCTTGAACTACCGACATTGTGATCCACCCACCTTGGCCTCCCAAAGTGCTGGGATTACAGGCATGAACTACCGCGTATGGCCCATGATATTTATTTTTACAAGAACATTCTCTGTGCTGATTTACTAAGTATGGATTGATAATAAATCAACTTTTGCCTGGGTATGACTTTTATAAAGTATCAATTTTAGAAATAATATTCGCATTCTGCTGAAGAGATCTTGTAGTACAATTATGTAGATAAGTTATAAATGTTATAAATCAGAACTCTGTGCGTACTTATATGTTTTTGATACCATTTTATTTTTTTGGATATATGCGTACAGATTGTGTGTTCTGAGTGTTAAATAAACTTTTTTTAAAGGCTAGAATTAAAATTTAGTTTATGACATTGACCAGATTGTGCTTTTCTGGTGAATCGACTATTTTGATACACGTGTCATAGTTTGCATGTAAGTTTTTCCTCCCTTAGTTTCACGTATGAATAACCAGATGTTTTCACATTTGTATGGTGGCCATACAAAAATTACTCTTCTTGACCCCAGGAACACCCCTCTTTTCCCATTTCACTTAGAGATCCTACTAATGGCTGGGTAGCTTTACTTTCTGTCTTAGCCTGTTATTTATCCCAGGGTATATTAGTCTGCTCTCACATTGGTATAATAAATTACCTGAGACTGAGTAATTTCTAAATAAAAGAGGTTTAATTGGTTCACAGTTCTGAAGGCTGTACGGGAAGCATGGCTGGGGAGGCCTCAGGAAACTTACAATCATGGCAGGCGGTGAAGGGGAAGCAGACACATGTTCACATGGCTGGAGCAAGAAAGAGAGTGTGAAGGGAGAGGTGCTACACACTTTCAAACACCCAGATCTCATGAGAACACTGTCACGGGACAGCACTTGAGGGATGATGCTTAACCGTTAAAACCACCCCCATGATCCAGTCCCTTCCCACCAGACCCCACCTCCAACACTGGGAATGACAATTCGACATGAGATGTGGGTGGGGACACAGAGCCAAACTGCATCACAGGGTTAAGCACAGAGTGGTTCTTCCCAGTTCTGGACTTTACCAGATTGTTGGTGGCCACCATGAGTGGAGAGAATTAGCCCTTCGCTGTCGCCTTCCTCTTGCAATTCTGGTGTTATCTATCCTCTGCCTACCACCCACCCACGGAAGTCTTGTCAGATGATATACACCAGCCAGATTCTTCAACATTAGGCACCATAAGTAAGAAAGGTCCAAAACATCATATTTTGTGAGCCATTTTAATGGATTTGGGCTTTATTTTGTAGCAACCGGAAGTCACTAGACTTTATTTATTTATTTTATTTTATTTTTGAGATGGAGTCTTGCTCTTGTTGCCCAGGCTGGAGTACAGTGGCACAATCTCAGTTCACTGCAACCTCAAACTCCTGGGTTCAAACAATTCTCCTGCCTTAGCCTCCCAAGCAGCTGGGGTTATAGGCACCCGCCACCATGCCCGGGATTTTTTTTATTTTTAGTAGAGACAGGGTTTTGCCATGTTGGCCAGGCTGGTCTCGAACTCCTGACCTTGTGATCCACCCTCCTCGGCCTCCCAGAGTGCTGGGATTGCAGGCGTGAGCCACTGCACCCGGCCTAGACTTGCACTCATTTTACCCACTCAGTGACACCTGTGGACAAGAACCCAAGGAAAGCACCTTGGTGAATTGCAACATTGAAGGCAAACAAAGAGAGATGATTCCCCATGATTCCGCATGACGGAGATGAGCAGTGACCAGAGAGATAGGGTAGGAAGTAGGAGGTGTAGCATGCTGGAAGTCAAGCTATATAAATTTCTAAATGAGGGGAAAGGTAAGAGTGCAAGCATGATGCAAACAGAAAGCAGTTGAAGTGTACTTTTTGACAAGGTAAAATCATGTCTGTCATGCAGACTGAACACATGTCAAATATTTTATTCAATTCATTAATGAGATGAACTGTAAGATGTGAAAACTGGTTCATTTTGACTTGGAGAGATTTAAAATTCCTTCCCCGGCATACTTGATTTGCATGGCTATGAACAGGAATCATCTGGAATTATCTGGAATATCTTCAAATTATTTGCATGGTACAGGAACACTTGCATTGCTATGAGGGTCTGCAGTATGCATCTTTACAAAGCTGTAAGGGTGCAAAATAGCTTGTAAGGATGTAAATAATAAGGGTGTAAGAGTTTTATGGGTGTAAGTTGTAAAATAGCTTCTTTAGTAGCAAGTCAACCGGAGGAACATGCTGTGGAATCAGATAATCCTTTCCCCACCACCCTCAGGGTCTGAAAGACAACACCTGCATTTCACTGCTAAGATACTCAGGAATCTCTTTCGCTCATATCTTGTTTTTGGGCATTTGTGTGTGTGTGTGTGACAAAACATTGTTAGGATCTGCCAAATAAAAGGTCATTGTTGACCCTGTGGAATAGCGTGGGGAGAAGTTAAATTACAGTCCCTTACAGGAAAAACAACGTGAGTCAGTGGTGAAGTCAGCTGTGGACTCCTGGAGGAAAGACCTAGAGGCAAAAAGCTTGAGGTCATTCAAGACAAAAGGAAAGACTTTGTGATTTTGCTTTTTAAATGGAAGGAATTTGGGCCGAAGGAAGCTTAAACTAAACCGTGGGAAGGACTGATACCCATCCTAAGCACTAGCCGCAGGCATCTCTAAGAACTAGGTTTTGGCCCAGCTCCGTGGCTCAAACCTGTAGTCCCAGCACTTTGAGTGAGAGCGTCACTTGGGCCCAGGAGTACAAGGTCACAGTAAGCTATAACCTTAGTACTCAGTTCTGTAAGAACTAGGGAGAAAGGAGATCCAGTGGTGGATATGTGATTGGCTGGGTCTTGGAAGGGGGAGGGAACATCTCCTTTTCTGAGAAAGACTGGGGAGATAGTAAGGGTGGGTTAATTAGGCAGTTTCTTTTGCCAGTTGATAAAAACCCCCTAAACAATTTGTGTT